CCCCCCCCACCACTGAATGTGGTCATCAGTGTCACTAATGTGATCAGACCCTCAACCCCTCATGAGAACATGGTGGGGAGGTATGGGGAACAGCTGTCCTCTAGGGCAGGTATACCTGACAATTTCTTGCTCCCTCACAGCGCGCTCATACAGTTAGAAGGAACCTGGACAGTTAGGAGACCTGGCACATCCCTTTTCTTAATTAATCTCTTTCTTCTACTTAAAATAATATGTCAGAGCTATTTATCATATTTATCTGATGCTGGGGCTTTTCTGCCTTCTTTCCTTATGTTTGTACTTAGATACTTATAGCATGAAACATGAAACCTCAAGCCCTAGGCTTATTTTGAGGTGCTCAGGACTGGAAGAAAGCAAGTATTCTTTCCTGTGTCCAAATGTCACCTTTCCTTCTTTCCATGACCTGGAGTTCTCAATCCGTAAACAGTCATAGAAGATGATATTTAACACCAGTTATGTGCTTAGACCTGTGTTTAGGTACTCATAAAACATAGAAGGAAGACTAGTAGTCTCCACAGCAGGGTGGCAGACAAGGACCTTTTACTCTATCCTCTTACCCATCTTCTTGCCCTGATGGCAATAATCCTGTTTCTTAGATTCATGACTTATAGATGAAACCGTCCTCCTGTAGAGGAGGCCCAGCCTGGAGCTGTGAATGAGTGCAAAAAGAGTGGGTTGAGATGGAGTAGAAGTGAGATGCCGGAGGTATGCCTGGGGTGTAGGGGCATATGTCTGGGTGTATTTGTGGGGCTGAGTACACTCAGTCCAACTGGTCTCAGATACAACCTCCTGAGGCCACATCGGATTTTGAGCACTTTTCCATGAGTAACATGGGAAAGCAGAGTTTTAAAACTGTGAACTATGTTTTTTTGCCATTTAAAATTATTTCCAGCAGAATAAAGTTAGTAAATATTCAAGAGTGAGAAAATGCAAAATTGTTAAAGACTTAATTTCATTCTTTCTACTTTTCATCTTTTTCTTTCTTACTTCCTTTCCTCCTTACTCCCTGTGTACTGACTGAACACTTGCTATGAGGCAGCTCCCCCTAGATCCCATTCAGTGGTGGGGACAAGATGGGTACATAACTGGTCGCCCGACAATACTAAGTGCCCCAAACTAGGCTGTCTTTGTTGAGGGATGCCATTCCCTAAATCGAGGTTTAGGGAAGTTCAATGTAAGGCACATGTGGAATGGAGCAGAAGAGGCAGGAGTTGGTGCTCAGGTCTCTAGCCTGTTGCCACACTCTATGGTCTGAGGGAGGACCATGAGGCAGGCCCCAGGTCATTGTCATGCTTTTACTACTAGCATCTTGGATAGCAGTTGTGGCCCTTGAAGGGCTCTGTGGGGACTGGGGAACATTCTCTCCTCCTGGAGGCCACAGTTGAGATAGAGAGGGGTGGTAGAAGGCAGTGTATAATCAAGGCCTGGGCACACTCAGGTATCTGTAAATGCTTGCCTCAGTCCAGGAGTGTGGATACTCATAGAAATTCAGTTTGCGCCTGGCCGGGCATGGCTCAACGGTTGAGCATCGACCTAGGATCCAGGCGATCAGGGTTCGATTCCCGGTCAGGGCACATGCCCGGGTTGCGGGCTCGATCCCCAGTCGGAGGCATGCAGGAGGCAGCCGATCAATGATTCTCTCATCATTGATGTTTCTCTCTCTCTCCCTCTCCTTTCCTCTCTCTGAAATCAATAGAGATATATTTAAAAAAAAAGAAGAAATTCCGTTTGCAGGACCCTCCAAGCCAGCTCTGGGGGCCCTGGTGGTGAAATGGATCTGTAGGCCTGTTTGCCCTGGTTGCCTAGGAG